GTGATTTTCAAAATTTTAGCAATCCTTCCTTAAGGCTAGGTTCACACCTAAGTGGCAAGTTGCATTTGGGAGGACACAGCAGCCCATTTATTTGAATGGGCTGTTGTGCCTGCATTTCTTTGTGCCAGTGCACATTTGGATTATACATTAAGACTGTATAGTTAGATTTTCATACAACCCAGTTTTCCTTAAAGCAACACTGCTGCCACACTTAAAAATAAAATTGACAAACAGCCAGTATAAAAAAAATTGAATACTGTTCATCAGGAAATTTGCCTAAACTTTGCTCTTTTGAAAAGCAAGGGGCACCACTGCTATCCAAAAAGCACTTTCCTCTGGGCACTGTGGTTTCATCCACTAGCTGCTTTGTCACTACAGAATACAGGATCAGTTTAACCCTTTGGCACTGGTGCCTGCCAGCCCTTTAAGGGGTTTATGATACCAGGAGGCGGGGTGGGGTTTAGGGTCATGTGACTGCTGTGATTGGCTGTCACAGCAGTCACATGAGCAGAAAGGTCCTAATCAGGGTGATCGAGGTAGTGATCTTTCGGGACCTTTCTGTGAGGCGCCAGTAAATGTGCTGGGAGCACGCAGGGTATGCACTCCTGCCACATGTTTGTTTACTTTTGATACTCAAACATGTGACTGCTCGGCATCAAGGCCCAGCCGCCGAGAGGCTACATATTTGCATACTGTCTGCATAAACAGGTTAAGTTGTAAAGAGATACAAGATACATTTAGATGATCATAAACAGTAGAGACCAATTGATTTTGCAAGTATGATCAGATGCCTTCAGGGCCAATCCCCGTAAGGGTACAGTAATGAAGTATTATTATTATTACAGGCATTTTTATAGCACCGTCAATTTACACAGCACTTTACATATATATTGCACATTCACATCAGTCCCTAACCCTAAAGGGGTGTACAATCTAAGGTCCCTAACTTACATTCATACATACACATACTAGGGCCAATTTAGACAGGATCCAATTAACCTAACAGCATGTCTTTGGAGTGTGGGAGGAAACCGGAGTACCTGGAGGAAACCCACGCAGCCACAGGGAGAATATGCAAACTCCAGGCAGGTGGTGCCATGGAGGGGATTTGAACCTACGGCCATAGTACTGCCAGGCGGAAGTGCTAACCATTTAGCCACGTGCTCTAATAAACTCAGTTCTGGCAAGCATACTAGATTTCATAGCAATTTTTTACATTCCATCAATGGGTCTATTGATCTGGCAATAATATTTTTATTACTTATGTTACCAAAATGCTACATAAAATATGGGGCTAAACTGACTTCCGTTTGGTGGAATTGTCTCCCAAAAAGTTGTTTTCTATTCTCAAGGCAAAAATATATAAAAAAAAATTCTGATTTGACCAGCAATATTGAAAACTGTTTATAAAAAGTACACACATTCAACAATCAGCTTCACTGGAATTAATGGGCCAAGCCCAACCCCTGAAAAACATAATCCCCCCCTCCACCAAACTCTACACTTGGCACAATGCAGTTAGGCAAGTACCGTTCTCCTGGCAACCGCCAAACCCAGACACGTCCATCAGATTGCCAGACAGAGAAGCGTGATTTGTCACTCCGGAGAAAAAGTCTCCACTGTTCTAGAGTCCAGTGGCAGCGTGCTTTACACCATTGCATCCAACGCTTTGCATTGTACTTGGTGATGTAAGGCTTGGATGCAGATGCTCAGCCATTGCAAACCATTCCATGAAGTTCTCTACGCACGGTTGTTGTGCTAATCTGAAGGCCATGTTTGGAGGTCTTTAGCTATTGACTCAGCAGACAGTTGGCGACTTCAGCATGCGTTGACCCCGCTCTGTCATTTTACGTGGCCTACCACTTCATGGCTGAGTTGCTGTTGTTCCCAGTTGCTTCCACTTTGTTATAATACCACTAACAGTTGACCGTGGAATATTTAGTAGCAAGAAAATTTCATGGATGGACTTATTGCACAGCTGGCAACCTATCATGGTACTTCACTTGATTTCACTGAGCTCCTGAGAGCAACCCATTCCTTCACAAATGTTTGTAGAAGCAGTCTGCATGCCTAGGTGCTTGAGTTTATACACCTGTGGTCATGGAGGTGATTGGAACACCTGAATCCAATGATTTGGGCAATATGAACTTTTGGCAATATAGTGTACTTTACAGCATGCATACATATAGGATAAGACTGGGGTCTAATGACTGATTTATGAATAATTAGACCCCATGCAACTGAAATTTTAAATGGTTGTATCTAAAGTTTTTCTGGCTAAAATGTATATTTTTTCTTTAGTTACTGAGATGCTTATTTACCTTATGCTTATTTACTCTTTCCGGAGTCTAATTTAAAATATTCTAATCAAAATCCTCCCTGTATGGCCAAGTATGTCACTGAGGTTGCACTAAAGCCTAGTACACATGATCAGAAAATCATACAAAAAAAAGCTTTCAAAGCAATTGTACGATAATCTAATCGTTAGTACACAGCTTTTGTTTGAAACTATCCAAAAGGAGAAGCTTGAAAATTTTTCTCATACTATACCAGATCGTACAATTTTCACTTAATCAGGACAGTTTTCATCCATAAATACAATACAATACATTAAAATCCCGTTCAAATTTTTATTCTGTCGTGCAAGAATTTTCATAACTCTAGTGAACTCTTCACTTTTGTTATGAGCCTAGCATGCAAAAAAAAAACGGATGATCATTCGTCTGATCAGGGGCGGACTGACCATTTGGAAACTCGGGCACTGCCCGAGGGCCCGGGGTCAGTAGGGGGCCCCATGAGATGCCCCTGGTACCTTTTTCATAGTCTACTTTGAGTTTGGGCAAGGACACAGGGGCCCCATGATCCCCTATTGCCCGGGGGCCCCATGAGTTGTCAGTCCGCCCCTGCGTCTGATATTCTCATCATGTTTACAGGGCTTTAGGAAAAAAATAGAATCCAAAATTATCAGTCTGGTATCTCCCATGTCCACACTTTGAATAGCAGGTGCTAAGATGTGGAGAACAGGGAACATTTCTTGTCTTGAGAGCCATCTCCACCCTTCAAACAAACACAGACACTTATCAGTAATGAAGTAGCACTCAGTAGCACTCATGGTACAAACAGAATAGACAGCATCATCAAAGACAAGACAGCCAGCAGTGGGACTACTGCATCACATAAACACCATTATTCTTATCTGATAAAAACAACAACCAAACAGATATAAACAATATGTCACAGAATAGCTCAAGGTTTGCTATCATTCTTGGACTTACCTGGGACTATCCCTTTGGAGCTGATGTGGACAGTTGTTTTAAAATATACATTTCATATAAACGTCTTAATAAAGATGGAACTTAGGTGCCACATTTCTTTTTACACTCAGGCCTTTAAATCTGGCTTTAAATCAAAACAAATTATGTGCACATAAATTAAATGATTTTCTGCTTTTGTACACATTACTTTTTTGCATGCATTATTACATTCCAATAAATTAAGATTTTATGAATACAGTGTTTGAGATTTTTTTTCTGCAGTCTAGCGAGATATTTTTAAACTGGTACTCTTTTTAACACTTAAAAATTATCATGCAATCTTTTTTTTTTTACCCATGCTATAAAAAACTATGTAGAATATTAACAGGAAAATCTTCTTTTTATCTGGACCATACAAATACTTTCTGTTATTAATATATTTTGTGCTCTTTTTAAAACAGCCTAAAAAAATCTAAAGCAATATGAAATCAAGAAAGATAGCTTTAAAAGCCCCCCACCCCCCACATCTGATTTATGAATTTAGTGCAGAAGTTAAAATACAATTATTTTTCCAACTAGCTCCTTAACTATTATTCTTGCTCTCAATGACAATTAGACTGTAAGCCCCCAAAGGCATGTGTAATGTGTATTCTTTGTGAAATGTTTGCCTTTTCCTTTGCACTGTTTTTTACAGCAGTATGTAAATTGTACTACACTAAAACTAGTTGTAATTACAATAAGCCATTAATACACTAGCAACAAAGTAGTAAAGGAGGAAATATTCATGAATCAATGCACACTTCATTGTATGGCAATAGGTCTGCACAAACACTGTATGCAGGAAACTAAACATTATGAAGGGTAAAGATGATATGTGATGCTTATCTCTCTTTATATGGTAATTAAACAGCACAAACTCCAGACTGTAAACAGAAGCCAGTACACTGGTAGTAGCAGTAAATGTTTTACATTTCAGAAATGCATTTCTGACATAAAATAAATAAGTGCTGTTCTTTATTATACATGTGCAAGAATTTTTTAAGTGTTTGTGTTATAGAGAATGCAGAGTATCAGATGTAAAACACACGCTTTCTGCTAAAATAAGAACACTTTGCCCTACATATTTTGCAATACAATCTCCTTTTATACACATCTATAAAAGGTTACCATGTTGTTATAAATGCATCATGTCCCTTTTTGTATTGCCATGATTTTGTTACTGCTTTTTTTTTAATCTCTGTTAGGACTTTTACCTGTCTGAAATCTGTATGAAACTGTAGTATTTTTTTAGAGAACTTGAAAAAAATATTCCATTCATTTGAAAGATAAACTCTCATAAATTTTAAATGGGCTTATAGGCTGCCAGCATTCCAAAAAGGGATATCATTTCATCTCCAGCCAGTCAGTGAAAGCTAGGCGGAGCATATTCAAAAACCTAGCTGCTGACAGGTGTATAAGAAGTGCTGAGGAAGGGCACAGGTGATACACCTGTTTCAGGGATAGTTGCAAGCACAGGTGCATCTGGCTCTCCAGCCTACCAGCCTTCTACCATGAGTGCATTTGATCCACAGACACATTCTCCACCTCGCTGTGGGCCACAATTTCCAAACATTGGGCAAGAACCTCCAGAGATCAATATCTACTGTGACAGCATCTTCCACCCTCAGACTATGCCTAGTCCTCAACGACCTTCAAACTTTGAGACTGGAGATTACAGCACTACTGCTAATCCTTATCTATGGCTGAATGGGGCCATCCATCACACCACCTCCCTACCTGCAAGGATCCAACACCAGCCACTTCATGCCTCAGTCATACGGTATGCAGAGACAGCTTTTGCCTAACATGCATGGCTTAGGAGGATCTGAGTTAGGCTGGCTTCCAATTCCATCCCAAGAAGAACTCATGAAATTGGTGAGACCACCTTATTCTTACTCAGCCCTAATTGCAATGGCAATACATGGTGCCCCAGATAAAAGACTGACACTCAGCCAAATCTATCAGTATGTTGCAGACAACTTTCCTTTCTACAACAAAAGCAAAGCTGGCTGGCAAAACTCTATCCGGCATAATTTATCCCTAAATGATTGCTTCAAAAAAGTTCCAAGGGATGAAGACGATCCAGGTAAGTGACTTTTATTTTATGACACTTAGTAATGTTTCCTAATAAAAATATACCCTTTTTTCTTTATATAAAATGCCTTTCTCATAAGTGATGAAATATCTGAAATAAATGCTATAATATCATCAATCAAAATGTAAATGCTTAAGTGTGCTTAAAAAAAAACAACAAAGGAATTTAAACAGTAACTATGAGGAAATGTCTATGCCTCTTGCTGTAGATTGATGCTTTGTGTATTTTAGGACTGAAAAAATATCACGCTGAAGTCAATTTTGTTTTCCTTTGTGTCCCTAGTTGATTATTATCCATCGCTGTGTCTAAAGCTCTATATCATATGCCCAGCCGCACATTTCATAATCTGAATACCAGTAAAATATTGATGAAACTTACTGATAAAGTTAAAGTGTTTTTAAACTAGACATACAGTACCATATATGATCTAAATGCTCTTTTATCTAAAGAGAAAAATATATCCTAAGCATTATATTTTCTGTTAATAGGAAAAGGAAATTACTGGACTCTGGACCCAAATTGTGAAAAAATGTTTGACAATGGAAATTTCCGCAGAAAGAGAAAGAGAAAGTCTGACACCAATGGCCAGCTAACCTCAGATAAAGCAGAAGGGAGTTCACTGCCTGACAGCCCAAAAAATGGAGAACATCAAGACATGCTGGAGAGTTCCTCACCAGGAACTGATGACTCAACTGAAAAAAGACTATCTCCACCCGCCATAACACCATGCCTTAACAATTTTCTCTCTAGCATGACTGCTTTTGTTAACAATGCCGGTCCTGTAAGTAGATCAGTACCACTTGGACTCAGTAATGAAACATCTGACAAAGTGGCACAGAACACAACTGGTTTCAGCTCATACTCACCACTTACAAACATACCAAGTCACGGAGGATCAGACTGGTCCCCTACTATGTCATCAAATCCCTTTGGTTACACTGGTTCTTTACTAAATCAGTTCAATCCCCACTTCTACAACAGCATCACCAACAATACTCTTTTCTCCCGAGAAGGCACAGAGGTCTAAGCACCAGAATAAGGTAGAAAAGCCTTACAGTATACTGAAATGAAGTGTACCTTCATCAGCAAAAAATATCACTGTACCAGATAACCTGAATATTTGTGTATGTGTATAGTATTTATGGGTACACACAAGCTGATGCTAACGCAAAACATACACACAATGTATGTATGTACTTCAAATAATAGTTTTATGTAGTTAACTGTTCTCCAGTCACATTGGACTGCCCTCTGGTTACACACTGCCTTCTACTGCTATACATTTTAAGTAGTGCATACTGTATGTTTTAGAAATGTTCTTGTTTCAAAATATGTTCATTTATCTGAATATTACTGTGCAAGATGATGCAAATTGTCACTGTGTTGAAAGACAATGCTTTAGCTGGTATACATTTACTATAAGGTCCTTTTTCTACAGTCTGTACTGATAGATGTTTACTGTGGAGTAAAAAACCTGGGTAGGGGCAACTGATGTAGTACAGTAGTGACTTAAATACATTTGTCTTTCTTTTTTTTAATGTTAAATATTTTATATATTGATCAGACATCACTGAGGGGAAATGGGTTATTTTGTAATAAAATCTTTTAAAATGAATGAAGTCTGTGCTCTTGTTTCAGTTAGTTGTATGTAGAACATCATTTACATCATAACTACCTCTTCTCTGTTGCTGCTAGGACCAGAGTGGACTGAAATTAGAACCACTATACATCATTAGTGTATAATTACATCATTTTTAAATGTATTCTGTGAAACAGGCCAAAGAACAAAGCACTAACTGTAAAGTTTAGTTACCATTGCAGGCTACCAGAATCTACCCTGTAACGATCTTACTTCAAACCAATGACTATGGGTTACTGCACTTTGCAACTAGCACTTTGCATATTGCACCGTTTATATCTATACAATTTTCTATGGGTTTTCTTTAATCAATTACACATGGGAATAAACATAATATGGACCAGTAAATCTATATAGGAGCAGTGAGTGCAGTTGCTGCTGATGTGTTAGACTTTAGGAGAGAGGGGGACATTGTACCAAAAATAACTCCTTCAATCTGATATATTGAGGAGAAGCAGAACCAATGGTGTCTGACCCCCAGAGGTACTAAGGTTATGTTAATCTCCAACTGGTCCCTGGCAATGCTGAATTTACTAAACATGACCTTGTATTATGGGTCCACCTACCTCTATTATATAATCTAGTATTCCCAGTTCAAAGCCGGCAAACCCTCACCTCCTATAGCAACAGATCATCAATTTAAATATTGATTCTAATAAAATAAAACATGTTTTTACTATTTATGCATAGGAATAGAAGCAATAAGCCCCCTTCTTGCATTAAATTCATTAGTGAAGAGAAAAATGTAATGATGTCATCATGCCACATTCATGAAGATGTAATTTGTTATAGAGCCTTGCTAGACTTTGCACACACCCAATCTCATAGCATATACTGTACATTAAAGGTTAACTGTGATAGAAACATGTAGTATATATAGCTAGGTTTCAGAATGTTATATGATAGGAATAAAACTAGGTAGAAGTAATCATGACCAATGAAGCATAATAAATCGTTATGATAATAAAGAAAATAAAATCAATGTCATGGATATCAGATTTCCACTAGGTCCGATTAGTAAAATTTTCTTCCAGCAGAAGTCCAATGTTTGTGCGATGTCTAAAATCCTTCCCATCACAGCCCCCTCATTTTATATCACAATCCCATACTTACATCAGTCCCCTTCACATTAGTGTCCACTGTCCCCTTCCCATCAACCCCTACACAGCACTGCTGTCCCCTTTACATAACCCCCACAAAGCACTGCCCCCCCACAGCACAGCCCGTCTTTACATCACTCTCCCACAGCACAGCTCCCCTTTATTCACCCCACCCCACAGCAATTGCCCCTCTTTACATCACCCGCCCAACAGCATTGCCCCCTTTACATCACATCTCCCCCACAGCACTTCCCCACTTCAGATTTCCCTCCACAGCACCGCTCGCCTTTACATCTCCCTCCCCACAGTACTGCCCCCCATTTACATTTCCCCTCACAGTACTGCCCCCTTTACATTTACCCCCCAACACTGCCCCCCTTTTTATCTCCCCACCACAGCACTCCCCACCCTGTTTACATCTCAAACCCACAACAATGCCCCCCTTTACATCACCCCGCCACCACCCATAGGACTGCCCCCATTCACATCTCCCCTCCCCACCAGCAATTTCTTCCCCTTCACTTTACCCTCCCCCCACAGCACCGCTCACCTTTACATCTCCCTTCCCACAGTACTGCCCCCCATTTACATTTCCCCTCACAGTACTGCTCCCCTTTCACATCTCCCTCACCCTCTCCCAACACAATAGTGCACTCTGCTGCTTCACATCTGCTACTCCATTCAAATCACCCCACACACACACAGCAATGCCCCCTTCACAGCCATGTCCTCTTGCCTACCACTCCAAGTGGAGAGCGGTCAGGAGGCACAGCAGCACTAGATGGAGGTTTGGAGCAGGGAGCTGCCGAGCTTAACTCCTATTAAGAAGCTGGTGATTGGTTGGTGATTGGTGATTGGTCCTACGCCATGTCCTAACAACGAGTAACCTGCTAGTTAATCTGGAAAGTTAACTCATGCAGCTCTCGCTCCCACCCTCCATCCAGTGTGACTGTGCCTCCTGCTCTCTATTCATTATTGTCCCCTGCCTCCCGCTCTCTGTGCTGTGATGGAACAATGGCTCAGTCCGCATCCAGACTGTTGTCTGCCATTTAGTGATGCCTGACCTAAAGCACCTTTACAGGAACTGCAATACTAAAATCTAAGAGGGCACTTCATATTGCAATATTCCAGCTGCAGAACTGACATGCAGCAATCCTGGCTTTTAGAATTGCCAAATTATATGTATTTACGCTATCCATTCCTTATACAGCCCAACCATACAGAACACCCAGCCTGGTGACCTGTTTTTCTAGGATACCTCTGTGACTCCAGCCTGTGACTGGACAGTGAAGGAACAGCAACATACTAATGAGATCATTTCTCTGAAGTTTTATCCTCCTATCAGTATGTTCATTGTTAGCATATGTAAATTAGAGCCACTTGATTGTGTTAGTGCTCTTCCCCCTCCAGTCTGAGTGCTGCTGTACAGGTGTTTAAAAGAGGCTGAAATCAAGTCAAATTCATATAATTATAACAGTTTGCATTGAAATAAATAAAGGCCCCATGCACAAGAGGCATCTGTAAAAGCCTTTCTGGACTCCAGAACTCATGGCAGGAAAATGATGCTTAAAAAATGCGCTAAAAATGCGCTAAAAGCAGCATATTGCACGTGCTTAGGCACATTTAGGGGCATCTAGTTTTTGAGTGTTAATGCATTATACTGATCAGAATATTAATTATTCATTTTTTTTTCTTCCCATCACAATGTATTAATGCTCTAACTAACCCTAGACGTGTCTAGCATTTATGCACATTTAGCTTAGTTCTGCATTCTGCTCTTCAGCTCCTCTCCTGAAGGCACCTTTGGTGTTTTTTTTCTGCCATTTAAATGTTACACTGTTCATTTCAAGGTAGTAATTTTTGTCATGTCATATACAGACAGATATAAATAAGCCAACAATCGATTTTTTTTCATAATCATGACAGCACAATGGACTGGGGATTTATTTTGAGGTTCCATAGCAGCAAGTATATATGGAGTCTCATTCAACTATGCAATCAACACAATACTTGTTTGCAGGGGCATAAAGGGAAATAAAAGGGCTCCATATCAACATTTGTCTTGCTCCCTAATCAACAGCAGTTGTTCATGGCGCTGAAGCCAGTGGCCCTAGGTCATATACTTAAACCAAGATGTAAAGTAAAATTAAATGATTCATTGGTGGAAAAATGTTCCAACATCAGTGGTTAGAAGAAAAGAAAAAAGCCTGTCAGTCAGCGGGAGGAAAGAAAACCTATGCCCACATTAGTCGTCAGTCAAAGAAAAACATGCCCTGTCATCAATGTTTAAAAGGAGGGAGAAATACTCTGTTGTCAATGGCCAGTCCTAGGAAAAAAAATGCCCTGGTGTTAGTTGTCAAAAAGAGGAAAAAATGCCTAGACAGTGATCAGTAGGAGGAAAAATTACCTGGTGTCAGTTGTCATTAAAAAGAAAAAAAAGCCTTACCAGTGGTCAGTAGAGGAAAGAATACCCTGGCATCAGCGGCCAGTGGTGGAAAAATGGCTTGACGTCAGTGGCCAGCAAGTGGAAAAAAATGCCCTGGTATTAATGATCCATAGGAGGAAAAACTGCATTGTCAGTGGTCTAGTCTGGTCTGGTCAGTATAGAACAAAATGCCTTGTTGGTGGTCTGGTCAGTAGAGGAAAAAAATTACTCATCAGTGGTCAGTTAGAGGAAAAATATCCTGGCATCAGTGGTCAATAGGAGGAAAAAAAAAATGTCTTGCAGTGGTCTGGTCAGTAAGGTAATACCTTTCCAGTTGTCAGTAGGCATAAAACGTACCAGCATTGGCGGTCAGTAGAAGAAATGCCCTGCCACTAGTTCTAGTGGGAGGAAAAATATTAGGGACTCTGCAGGGGGATGAGCAGCTCTGTGGGGGCTTGGGGATGCTGTTGGTAGCTGGGAGGCACTGTGAAGCTCTGCAGGGGGCTGGAGATCTTCAGCAAACTAAGGGGCATAGTGGGGGCTGTAAGACTTTATAAGTGGAAGAGAATGCTGGGGCAATCTTGGGAGCCCTACTGAGGGTAAGTGTTCTGCAGAGGGCTATAGGGGCATTGCGGGGGATGCTGAGCAGCTCAGCGAGGAGGTAAGTTGGGGAAGGGGGTTGTTGTGGCTAGCAGGGGGATTAGTGAGAAGGTCAATTTTGAGGGGGCTAAAAAGCACTGTGGAGGGTTGGAGGCTGCAGGAAGTAGAGGGAGTGGAACTTGCAAAAAAGGGTTGCATGCCCCCCCCCCCCTCACTCTCCCACCTACACACAGTTACTGTTTAGACCTGTTGTCAGTATGGAC